ATGATGATGATGATGATGATGATGATGATGATGATGATGATGGTGGTCTCTCCTCCTCCTCCAGACCAGCTGAAGGGGGTCATGGAGCAGGTCCTGGACTTTGCGGTCCACGAGCTGACGAAGATCGTTGAGGCATCGTTTGACGACCTGCTGCTGGAGATCACCAAGATAGAGAGAGAGCAGCAGGACCTGGGGGAGACGCTGGACAGGGGGGGGGGGGGGGGGGGGGGGGGGGGGAGGGGGTCAGAGAACGACTCGGTGTCACCCAGCGGCTCTGAGGACATGAGGGAGGAGATGACTGAGGTCACCAGAGAGACGCCAAGGAGAGACGGTGAGTGGACACCTTGAACTGTGATGTCACGGTGTACCGCTGGACACCGTGACATCACAGTGAGTTCTACTTAAACACATGATACAAGCTCATCTGCTCCTCCTTCCCTTCATCCTTTCTCTCTTCTCCTTCTTCACTTCCCCTTCTCTCCTTACTCACCTCTCCTCTCATCGTCTCCTCTCTCTCACCTCCTTCCCCTCACCTCCTCTCTCATCCTCTCCTCTCTCCTCTCTCCCCCTCAGACCCGGATCGCCCCCCCGTCCTCTCTGTGTCTCAGGACTGGGTTCCTATCCTGGACAAGGTCTTTGGTCAGAAGTGGTGCAGCGATGTCTGGCAGATCAAGGAGCTGGATGGAGGAGGGGGTGGGCGGAGTCTTAATGAAGGAGGTGCTGATCAGGTGGCTCCTCCCTCCACCCCCTCTGTGACCCTGGAGCCCTCCCCCTCCTCCCCCCAGCAGGACCCCCGCTGGACTCCTCTGGAGGACATGGAGGTGTTTTCTCCTGATGAAGAAGCTGCAGACGCTCAGAGGAAGACCAGCAGACCTGGATCTGGATCAGGACCTGGACCCCCCCTCAGCCCTACAGGTGACCGCAAAAAACCTTGTGTGTGTGTGTGGGGGTGGGTGTGTGTGTGTGGGTGGGTGGGTATATATGTGTGTGTGTCATCACTGCCCTCTACTGGATATCAGACTCATAACCACTAACAGGAACATTTTGTTGCAGTAAAAGATCAGAGTACTACTACAGTTAATGAAGTACCTGTGTACTGGGGGGTCAGACTCTGGTCTCTCTGGACCTGACCCTGGTCTCTCTCTGGTCCCTCATGACCCTGACCCTAGTCTCTCTTGTCTCTGGTCTCTCTTGTCTCTCTAGACCCTGACCCTAGTCTCTCTTGTCTCTGGTCTCTCTTGTCTCTCTAGACCCTGACCCTAGTCTCTCTTGTCTCTGGTCTCTAACCCTGGTCTCTGGTCTTCAGGGTCTTCGGGGCGCCGCTCCTCTGCCTCGATGCTCCACCGTCTCCTGACTCTTCCGTCTCAGCTGCTGGAGGAAGAAGACGCCACTAAAGAGACGATGTCCGTCCTGTCGGGGGACGGAACCGGTGAGCTTCCAGACCGGGTCGGTCCATCTCCTACGAGGGGGGAGGAGGAGGAGGAGGAAGAGGAGGGGGAGGAAGAGGACACAGGGAGGAAGGTGAAGAAGGAAACATGTCACATAAAATAACAGCTGATCTTCTTCTTCTTCTTTGATTTTAGACGATCTGACGATATGTATACAGCGGGTAAAATAAATGCTGAACGCGTCACCGTCATTCTCAGTCAATATATTTCTAAACGTAATGTTGACGTGAAATGTTCACCAGATGTCGGTAACAACCCAAGTAATCCACACATACAAAGAAAACCAGACTAATATGTTCATAAATGAAGTTATGAGTAATAAGATGGAATGACACAGGGGAACAGTATTGAACACGCGTACTGAAATATATTTAATACTTCGTACAGAAGCCTTTGTTGGTGATGACAGCTTCCTGTTTGGAGAAACTAGCCGCATGCATTGCTCAGGTGTGGTTCTGATCCATTCTTCCACACAAACAGTCTTCACATGTTGAAGGTTCAGTGTTCCTCTTCTATGAACTCTGATCTTTAGTTCTTTCATAGACTTTCTGTTGGATTCAAGTCAGCTGATCGTCTGGGCCGTTCTAACAGCTTCATTTTATTTATCTGAAACCAGTTGAGAGTTTCCTTGACTGTGTGTTTGGATCAATGTCATGCTGAAATGTCCACCCTCGTTTCATCTTCATCATGCTGGTAGATGGGAGCAGATTTTTATCAAGAATGTCTCGGTGCATTTCTCCATTCATCCTTCAATCATATGAAGTTTGCCGTCTGCTGAGAAACAGCCCCACACACGATGTTCCCTCCTCCAAACTTCACTGTTGGTTTGGTGTTTGTGGGCTGATGTGCAGATCCTCCAAACCTCCAAACATGCTGTGTTATGGATCCAAAGAGTTCTTGGTCTCATCTGACCAGACTCTATTCTCCCAGTGTTTCACAGGCTTGTCTAAATGTGCAGCAAACTTTAAACGAGCTTCAACATTCTTTTTCTTCAGCAGTGGAGTCTTGCGTGGTGAGCGTGCATACAGGCTACGGCGGTTGAGTGCATTACTTATTGTTTTCTTTGAAACTATTGTACCTGCTAATTCCAGGTCTTTCTGAAGCTCTCCACAAGTGGTCCTTGGCTCTTGGACAACTCTTCTGATAATTCTGTTCACTCCTCTGTCAGAAATCTTGCCAGGAGCACCTGGCCGTGGCCAGTTTATGGTGAAATGTTCTTTCCACTTCCGGATTATGGCCCTAACAGTGCTCACTGGTTTCAGAGAAATAAAATAAAGCTGCTAGAATGGCCCAGATGATCAGCTGACTTGAATCCAATAGAAAATCTATGAAAGAACTAAAGATCAGAGTTCATAGAAGAGGCCCACGGAAGACTGTGTGGAAGAATGGGCCAAAACCACACCTGAGCAATGCATATTTTACCCGCTGTATACATAACATAGTATTTAGTACATATTGTACTCTTTGTATTGCTAACAAAGCAAGTAGCAAACACAACAGCTGTAAAGTGAGCGAGCTGGTTCACAGATGCTGCGTCTCCTCTCCTCAGTGTAACTTTAATTTGAAAGGGTCATACAACAGGAAGTGTCCGACCGCTGCAGTCAAGGTGCCCTTGAGCAAGTCACTAGTGAGAGAGATGAGACGTCAGCAGCAGGCCGTCTGTCTGTCTGCAGCAGGTGTGTGTGTGTGTGTGTGTGTTCTGGGTAAACAAAGTCAGACAAACACTAAACCAAACAGACCCGCCTGGTGCCTCCAGGAGGACAAAACAAACACTCTGTGCTGCTCTGTGATTGGTCCATCTGTTTAAATGGCAAACGTGGCAAATCAATACATTTTAGATCTGATTATTAGTTTTTGTTCACGGCAAATCAAACAATTCCGGATTTTAATCTGACTGTGTTTGATTTAAAAACTCGTCATTTTTACTATTGAAAATGACAAATCGAACTCCTGTCTCCTAACTGTGTGTAAACCAGTTTAAACTAGATATAAAACATGAAGCTAATTAGCTACGATAGCTTCTTCCATTTTCGATAATTGTTTTCCAGCTGCTGTTTATCTCCGTGAACCGACTCTAAATAAATCCCATGGTGCTCAATCGTTCATTCACATTTTCTTTAAATTTGGTTAATATTTACATTACATTTGGAAGGAAACCTAGCTTCTGTTTTACAGTTACGCTACCACTGAACGTGATGGACTTTAGCTAGCTAGTTAGCGTAGCCCGTGGTCGCTCCGCCTGGCACTTTCTGTTAGCCGTGTAGCATGAAAGCATGGTGGAATTAGCAAGCTAGCTAGGAAGTCGCTAAATGAATACAACAAATTTGCTACATCCACAGACGTTCTTTTTTCCCCTTCAGGGTTCCGCCTCCTGTGCTGTGATTGGCTAGTACTACTGTGCTGTGATTGGCTAATATTATCGTGCTGTGATTGGCTAATACTACTGTGGTCTGATTGGCCAGTACTACTGTTCTGTGATTGGCTAGTACTACTGTGCTGTGATTGGCTAGTACTACTGTGGTGTGATTGGCTAGTACTACTGTGGTGTGATTGGCCAGTACGACTGTTCTGTGATTGGCTAGTACTACTGTTCTGTGATTGGCTAGTACTACTGTGCTGTGATTGGCTAGTACTACTGTGGTGTGATTGGCCAGTACTACTGTTCTGTGATTGGCCAGTACTACTGTTCTGTGATTGGCTAGTACTATTGCACTGTCATTGGCTAATCACTGATCTTTTCCTAAACCTAACCAGGTAGGTTTGTTGCCTGAACATTCATTTCTGTAACCAATGTAGCATTAAAGCATGGTAGATTTAGCAGCTAGCTACTTTGCAAGCTAGCATGCTAAGTAGCTAGCTGCTAAATGATTAAAACTTCATCCACACACTCTTTTCCGTCTCTATAAACAGTCACAGGACAGGAAAGCACCCTGCTATCGCTAGATAATGAGCCAATCACAGCACAGGGGGGGCGGGATTATGCAGGGAAAACAATAACGAGATCCACACACTCTTGTTACATCGTGAGAAAGTAAATCACACGTATTGAAACACCCGTTGAGTCATACGAGGAGCCAACAACATGACCAATAATCAACGATTCTACCACATGAACCAGAAGCAGAAGCTTCAGGTGTGAACTGTTGATGCTGTAGTCAGGATTCTAGAAACACTGAGATCAATAAGTCCTAATTCACTCAGCACAAACAAACACAAACACACATTAATGACCGGACTCCAACCAAACTCTGTGTTCATTAACACCTCAGCTCCACCTCGCTGTGAGCTGGCTTTAATAAACAGAAATATATTACATAAATATATATATAGATATTTATAGAACTGCAGAGAGACGGAGGTCTAACATGACGAAGCGTTTCCTGCAGCCGGTAAAACAACGATGGAGCGTTTTTTAAAGAGACATCACGATACTGAACACGGAATATTTATAATTATTTACATATTCACCAAAAGTCACAAAAACACTTTCACCTTTAGTTAGTCCAAAAACGTCTTCAGGCTTTAGATTTACGAACAGACCTGAACTCACCACCCTGCATTCAGGGACTATTTTATGATGAATTAATGCGTGAAAATGGTTTCTAGTTATGTTTCAATGTCTCCTTCAGTCACTTTCACTCTGAATGTGAGGAGGAGCTGCAGGAGGAGGAGGAGGAGGAAGAAGAGGAGGAAGATGAAGATGATATAGCAGCATCTGTTACCGGCAGCTTTACGTGAGCCAGATTTCTCTCCAGTGATCCAACATGGCCGACAGCAGGACGGACTCATTAATGAGTAAAGAGAAGAAGAAGAGGACGCTGACCGGAGGAGACTACTCTCTTCTTCTGTGGTGTCTGTAGAATGTAACTAAGAGTAAATAAGGGCTGACGTCTCGTTTCTTCTTCAGTGAATATTAAGATGTTTATAATCAGCTGGTCGGAGCCATTAAAGCACCACAGAAGGAGTGATTAAAAGAGCTCCAGTAAAACATGATGGAAATATGACATTTGTGTAATAATTTTTGTATACATACATACATATACATATATATACATATA